GTAATTTATTATTAAAGTTTATTTTATATATTATTAAATTAATACTATATTTATTATATAGCAATATTCGGAATAAGGCTATTTCTTACCAAATGAAAGAATTAATATATTCTATTACTAAATTAAATACACAAGAGGAAATATTGAACATATTAGAAAAAATCAAGGAATCTGATGAACTTGGAGCAGCAGGTTTTTTTTTATAATTACATCATTTTTCTAAAGTGAATTATATATAATATTGATTTAAATTTAAAAATAGAGTGGGTCAATAATAAATATAAGCCGTGGATATTGGCTGGACTTTCATCCACATTTACTCAAATAGATGCTGATATTTGGAATCAAACACCAAATAATACTAATGTTAGTAAATTAGCACATGCCAATATAAATCATGATGGTCAATCTTTATCTTTATTAGCAGCAATATACCAATATGTATTTGAAGTTAGAGCTGCAGTACAAATTCGATAAATTAATATTAATCTAATACATAATTAAAAAAAATAATTTTTTTTAATTTATAGGGGTAATGATTTTCAATAGAATTCAGCAAAAACGTATAAAAAGTATAACATGCATGAATTATATAAAAATAAATCTGAATTAGCCTGATTGACAAATAATTCAAAAAGAACCCATAAGTGTAATTTTTTTTTTTAATAATTTATATAATTCAATTTAACAGTTAATATACTATTTAGAAAAACTAAAAAATAAATATAAAGAACCTGTCTCAAGGTCCATATCACAAAAAAAATACAAAAACCAATCATCAAATGAAAAAAATAAAGATTTGTCTTTATCTTCTACATCAACTTTAACCATGGTTCCTATATAACAAGAACAAGACAATTATATTGAATGGGAAAACAAAAAATTTGAATTATGGCAAAAAAACTTAGAAATTCTAAAGGAGAAAATTTTATTACGTGAACAACTTAATAGTTTAAAACAATCATAATGTTTTTATTTCTAAATTATCCTAAATTATTTTTTTTAAAAAAAAATAGGTGGTATAAATATGAAATATCATAAATAAATTTAATGCATTTTGAAATATTTCTACTGCTATAATTTTATAAAACCAAATTTAATTGCACAAATCTTTCAAAAAAATATATAATGTTGATATGTCATGTATCTTATGACAGTAATATTGTATTATTATTGAACTATATGGTACACATCTATATTGTACAATTAAATAAATATAATACTGTACCATACGTACAGTACAGGATTTTTAACAGTACTATATATAATTTTGACATACCGCAACCTCCTCTTTATTTCTATTCATTTGGGACAATGTGTTTATATTCCAATGGATACTTCCTGACTTAAGCTGGATCATATAATTGTATGGTTGCAACTGAAGTATCCAACGGGCTCTTTTTCTCTTTAACTTCGTGCTATGCAACCACTTAAGTGCCAAATAGTTAGTTATAATTACAAACGGCTTAAAGCCGAAGTAGTATTCTACTGCCCAAATAACCGCTAGGCATTCTAATTTACAGGCTGAATAATTTCTTTCAGCTTTGAATAAACTATGGCTGGTATATGAAATTACATACTCCTGGTTACTCTTGCCTTTCTGGGCTAAAACAGCTCCTAATCCTGTTCCGGATATGTTGGTATACAGGTAAAACATTTTGTTAAAGTCAGGTACTTAAGGATGGGTGCCATAATTAGGTAATTCTTTAACGTATCGAATACTTCTTGTTGTTTTGACTTCCATTTAAAACTAACCTCTTTCTGTAGTAAATGGTGCAAAGACCTCACTATGGCTGCAAACCCAAAAATAAATTTCCTATAATATGATGTTAGGCCTATGAATCCTCTCAACTGGTAAAGCATACTAGATATAGGGTAGTTCTTGACTTTTTTCACTTTACTTTCATTAGGCTTTATATCCTGCCATCCAATGATATGCCCTAGGAAGTATATGGTAGGCTTAAAGAATTCACATTTTTCTATATTAATCTTTAACTCTGCTTCTGCTAACTTATTAAAAACCTTCTTTAGGTGCCCAAAATGCTCATCAAAGTTGCACAAGTAAACATTGATGTCATCAATATAAACAGTCACAAACTTGCCAATATACTCTTCTAAGATATGATCTATTAACCATTGGAAGGTGGCTGATATGTTTAAGAGTCCAAACAGCATAATATTAAACTCATAAAGGCCTCCTCGCATTACAAAGGCTGTTTTCTTCTTGTCTTCTTCCTTGACCTTGACTTGCCAATATCTGCTCTTCAAGTCCAGACTAGAAAACCAATTCGCAACACTAAAGGTCTCTAATAAATTATCTATACAGGGTAATAAGTAAGAATCTTTTCTTGTTACTTCATTCAATTTTCTATAATCCATGCATAGTTGTAACTTTCTACCCTTTTTCGGGACTATGACTATGGGCAAAGCCCATGGGCTATTCGATTTTCTAATTAATCCTCTTTCTTCTATCTCTTTTAGTTCCTTCTCTATAAATTTGTGCTTGTTTGGTGCTGCTTTATATGCTTTCTGTTTGATCGGCTTGGCCTTGCCAGTCTAGATTCGATAGATAATCATGTTCATTTCTTCAAGTTCCTGTAGATCACTCACGAACAAGCTTCTTTTTTGCTAGAAAAATGCTGCTGCCTTTTTCTTTTCTTCTTTCTTCAGGGTTTCATTCTGGAGGAACTTTTCATCTGCTTTTCTACTGTAAGTTTAGTTTGTTTTTCCTCCTTCGTTAGCATTTCTTCTATATTCATTAAGTAAATAGCTAGACTTGTCGATTCTTCTCACAAATTATAGAACAGCTCGTTGATTTCTTTAGCAGCTTCTTCGGTATAATATTCTTTCACTTTGACCAATTCCTCCTCCTCATTGGTGTATTTGCTGAATTCGTCTCCACTATTACTATCTAGTGCATCTCTTTCTTCTAGAATTTCTAACTTCTTTGTTCTATTATTTGAGATAGGTACTTCGATTCTCCTACAATCATGCTTGAGGAACAGCCATTACTCGTTGAAGTGAATTCATACTTGGGCCCTTTGGAACCAATCGTTGCTGAGGAGTAATATTTCGTCTGTGAATTCTATGACTTGAAAGATACTAGATAAGAGGATGTCTTGTATAGCTACTTTTACATCTTTAATTTGCTCTAATGCTCACGTTCTTGTACCAGTTGCTATGATTACGACTATTGCTAATGGCTTCTTGAATTTTAACTTCAATTTCTCTATTAGTTTCTTTGTCATTATGCTCACTGCCCCACCCGAATCCAATATGGCTCAAATGTGGTTGCCCCTAATTCTCATATAATAATGGGCAGCCGTGGTTCTATGGGTATCACTAAAATTTACCACCTGGGGTTCTTGAACTTCTTGAGGTATTCTAATTTCTCTGGGTTCTTGGGCCACCAGGGGTCGACATAATACTTAAGCTAAGTTGCTTCTTTGGTTCAGATATTGGAGCAATTGGCCGTATGTGGCATTCACCCTCGAATTCAACAAATCCTCTGCGATGTTATAGGGGATAAGCTTATCTATCACGGACGGTCTCCTTTTTTTTTTTGGCTTCTTGATCGGTCTTGACTCCCCCAGCTCCATAGGCACTAACTGGTCTTCTACGTCTACCAGAAGTAGATTGTTTTCTGCTCGAGGTTAAAGTCTATTATTCTACTTCGATTCTGGCTACAATCTTGGTCTTTTATTGGGAATATCAGGTTGTACTTGCTGCTTTCTTTTATCTACTACATATAATTCGTTTTCTTCATACTCACAGTAGTTCACTTTTCTAATGTTATAAGTCAGACATCTTTCCTCTTCCTTAGGTTCTTGATACTTCTTTTCTGATATACAATGCCTCGTGATATGTCCCTTCTCATTATACTAGTAACAAATGATTTTTCTCTGGGGTCTGAAATTCTCTCTATACTTTTCAGTGTATCCTTTTTCTGTTAATTAGTTGCGGCAACGTAGTTGACCGATAGTTGCTGCACTTGCTTAACTAATGTCTCAATTAATCCATCCTTTTTGTCAAGAGTTACTGAAGCTTTAGGTAGGTGAGCACTATAATATTTGCTAGCTTCTTACTGTGACAATGGCTTCATTAAGGCTATTTGGGACATTATCGCTACAAAGGTGACTGTTTTTCCCTTCAGTCCACTTAGAAATATTCTTACAATATAATAATTAGGAAGAGAGTTAGTTGAATCTACACGTCTTAAAAGTTTCTTAAACTTGGTGGCATAGGCATCCACTTTTTCATTCTTAAGTTGGACAAGATTGTTTAATTGGATGTGCCACTTATACTGCTTCTCTGGAGTAGCAAAGAAAGCCACTAGCAAGTGGTAAAAGCTCTTGTCTTGCTCATCATCGTTCTTTCATTCCTCTATATCTGCTTTAGTATCCTTGTACCATTCTGATGCTAACCCTTTTAAATAGCCAGAGGCTATTTTAAGCTTTCTTTTCTCTGTCCAATTATTCGCTTCTGCAGCACGCTCGAAATCGTCAAACTATTCAATAGGGTCTTCGTCGTCACCTCTACTAAAACTTCTAACCTTCACATAGTTGGTTTCTTTGGACTCAGACCTATTTCCTTTAACAATATCCTTGGCTGTGTCTTTGAAGGCCTTGGTCATACTCTCGATTAACTCCTTAAGCTGGGCGGCGTTCATTATGGATGGCTTGAATTGTGCAAGAATGCTTTCCAGTGTGTCTCTAATATTAAGCTTCTATTTTACTTAGATAGGTTTCTTAGTTAATTGGGCTTTCTTTCCACTAATTTAATTTTTCAAATCAGGGGGGGAGGGGGTAGCGAATGTTGTTGCTTGATTTTTAGACCTTATAGTTACCACCAAAATGTTAGGTTTGGAAAACTGCGACTTGGTCGCTCTACAATCCAAAAACTCATGTAACCTGTGGTAAGTAACCTTACGAAAGAGGCGTGTTAGATTTGGCTGGTGGGTAATTAAGGCTTCGGTTACTTGGTCAGCAAAAGAGGGTCAGTTAAGTCATGTGATCAAGCAATCAAGCGAACGATTTTATTAACGTTATTAGGGTTATTAGGGTTATAAGAGAAGTGTATTATTATGGGCGATTTTTATAGAATAGGGACTTATTAATTAATAAAGCAATGAGCGATTACTGCTCTTGAGGGCCAATTTGGCCTTTATTTATATTGATTATTTCCGTTGCTTACAAATGCGACTTTACATTTAATATTCTATAAAACTATTTAAAACTGCTTTCAATTATTTCCCTAATATTTTTA